TCTTGAGATTGATACAACACCCGCATTTGAATACTCCTTTGATTGTAGTTCTTCCCCGTGAATTTGGGCAACTGAGGTTGCAAATTATTGTTGCTTGAACTCGCTGCCATTCTCCAACCGTGGCTCTGATACCAATGATGGAAGCAACATAAAACAAAATTATAGAGAAGAGAAAACTATAGGTCGCGTCGTTTGGGTTTGAAATATCCAACAGCCCAATTGCTACTTTGTCTGTGCTGCCCAACCCTTCATAATATAGTATACAACTACATCAAAGTATCAAATTTTAAATTTAAACACTTTCCAAGATTTTAAATTTAAATACTTTCTTGATATATTCTCAAAAAATTATCTTGATCAAGCATGAATCTCGAGGCAAAATCGGACCGGAAACTTCAAAAATTAAAATTAAGAACATTCGAACTCCGATTTCAGCGAGCTTATAGTCAAACTGAGCGTCTCGGAAATACGAACCCAACGACACCAAATTCAACCCAATCCAAACCCAAATGGGTCCTAATCAAGGACCCGAAGCGCTGTTGAAAGGTTCAAACCACAAATTGAGTTACCAAACAGTCTCCGATTTTAACGAGCTTATACTCAAATCGAGCGGCTCGACGAGACGAATCTAACGAGCCCAAGATCGCCGAATTCCGACATCACTAAGACCTTCAAATGTCCAACGAACAGTGCATGATCGTAAGATTCAATATCGGCCGTCCATTCGACCACTCCCTATTCGCCCCTGATCTCACGACTATTTACGAGCCATGTCACTCCAGAAAAACTATAAATAGAGCCCTCATTCTTCACAAAGGGGACTCAAGTGAAGAGAGAGAAGAAGAAGGGAAGAAGAAGAGAAAGGAGAAAGGGAGAATCATCTTCTCCTCGACCACCTTCGGTGCTCTTCTCGCCGTCTGAATACGCCAGAACTCTGCCGGATTTTCGGGAAACGCCGGGATTTTGTAGAACTTTGTAACTTTGTTAGAAGCTGATTGTAAACTGATCGTCTTGACTTGTAAGACGAATCAACCTTTATACTTCAAACAAACACTAGTGGAATTACTTCAACTGGGCATGGCCCCGTGGTTTTTTCCCTCTTCCGGATTTTCCACGTAAAAATCCTAGTGTACATTTTCCTTTCTGTTTGTGTGTGGAATATTCGTGCAACTCTTAGACGTAAATTGTAAATCTACCTGCCCCGCAGTATATTTCTAGCCCCCTTGACATTTCAATACTTTAAATTAATATATATTAAAATTTGGGAAAAGAAAATAGATTCTGCCATAATTTCAAATAACAATTAATTAAATTTATATTACTTTCAAAAAGACTTGGTATCTTCCATTTGAAAATGTATACTTTAAAATAAAGAATAATATATATATTTAATAATATTTCTTAAGTTTTTAAATCTTTAAAACTTTTATGCTTTATAATAAAATTAGAAATTTTTCTTTTTTCAATTTGGAAATGAAGTACAAAATAATGATAAATCGATCTGAATACAATTTTTATTTTTAAACTTTTATCTAATAAAATATTAGAAATTTTTTTTTACAAAAATTTTGAGATTAAGTTCCCAAACTAATGATAAATCAATCAAATTTGTAGTAACAAAACTTTTTTTATTTCCCTCAAGGAAAAGTAATAAGGACATAGATTAAATTCTATCTGTTCATCAGTTTGTGTCTATAATTGAGAGGGCACACGAAATTTAAACAAAAAAAAAAAAAAAAAAGGTAATGATAGCCCATTTGGGCAATAACTACTAGTAGCTGCTGCTACTATTATGAAGGTTATTAATTAATCTCATCACTATCCCCAACTTTCGCTCCCCAAAATGCGCGGTACACAGTAGTACAACGAGTAGGTACCAGAACGAGTAGTAACACGGTACCTAATAGTACCTAGAGTGGGTACTACTCTAGGATTTTGGCAATATTTCTGTAAGCATTCTAAAGGTTTCATAGTTATTGTAGGATCTAGGTTGTTTGTTGAGAGTTTATCTTTATTTACCGCATGTAGTGTAACTACTTAGGTAAACCTGGTCGTACTCACTAGGTACCGCGCATTTTTCAAGTTGTCGGATGTTCGTGTTATCGGGTATTCGGTGAAACAGGGCGAGCAACGTATCTCTTTCATAAGTCTCGGTTGGATTCATAGGTGGGCATCCTACGTTGGCGCGAGACGACAATATCGTTTGTCATTCATCACAGATGTCTACGTTTGTCGCCATCCTCCTTCATCCCTATATAATTTCTCGTAAAGAAGAGATGCTTCTTTATATATAAGAAGAGAAGAGATGCTTCATTTCATTGGGAAGGTGAAGAAATTAAAGGGTTGCATGTCGACCACTATGTCCAGAATTTATTTATAATCTTTTCAAAAAAAATACTAATGATCTCTTTAATTTTTTTCATCCATTCATAATACATATATATTTTCATTTAATGCTATGTAGATTTCAATCATTATATTTGGAACAATTTAACTTCAAATTAATACTCTTCTCATATACAAATACTCGAACCTTAATCTAAAAAAAGAAGTGCTATGATCGAGTGCCAAAACTTTTATCTAATAAATATTTGGAATTGAGTACCAACACTTAATCTTTTATTTAACTAATACTTTCCTTAATTTTTTATTTAAAAACTTTTATCTATATAAATAGTAGAAAAGTTTATTTTTTTTTTAATTTGGAATTAAGTACCAAAACTAATGATAACTCCTGTATTTCTAATGAAATAAAGTTCCAAAAAATAAATATAATAGTCAATTTATAATTTATATATAATTAATGTTTTAACACTCAATTAAATAAGTAATAATTGCAAATTATAATCCTCTGTGCTTAGTCGAAAAGAAAATAATTGAAGAAAGGTTGGGTGGTTAAAGTCTTGTATGTTTTTTACGTTGCTAAATGCACGCTAAATAAATTGGTCCAGTTTTGGTAAAGAAGTGTCGGCAGCTGCTCGTTGATTTTCTTGCCCATCTCCATTCCTGCTTCTATCTTCCTTTAAATTTACGAGCTTCCCCTAACATCCTGCAAGCTAATTAAGCTATTCTCCTTCTTCAGCAAGCTCAACATGGCGATGATCTTAGAAGCTTCTATGAAAAAATTATCTGGATCGCTCGGTGATTCTGCCCTTGGAGAGGTGATCATGCTGCTAGGTGTGAAGGACGAGCTCCAAAAGCTACGTGAACTGATGGAGAACATCCGATGCCTACTGAAAGATGCGGAAAAGAAAAGGTTTGATAAGTCATCAACCACCGAGCTCTGGCTTTCTAAGCTTAAAGATGTGATGTACGATGCTGATGATATCATTGACCGTTGTAGAATTGAGGGCACTCTGCTGCTCTCTGATCAAAATTTTGAATCTAGAACTTCGTCGGTATGTTGCGACTTCTTATCTGCCTTCTCCTCCTGTTTCACTAGCGTTCTTTTGCGCCATGAGATTGGAAACAAAATGAAGGATATTAATGAAAGACTCGAGCATATATATGAGGATAGAGAACGTTATAAACTAGAGAAATCCACTATATCCGAAACCCCACAATTTACTCGACCTGGTCGTAATACTTCTCCCTTGGTTGATTCTTATGTTGTGGGAAGAGAGGTCGAGGATGTAGCAAATAGTTTGGTTGATCGTTTGGTTGGGGAGCAGGTTGATGAAAAATGCTCTGTTTTTGCTCTTACCGGCATGGGCGGGATAGGGAAGACAACTATGGCTAAAAAAATTTTTAACCATCCAAAAATTCAAACCTATTTCAATGAAAAGGTGTGGGTTTGTGTTTCAGAGACTTATGTAGAAACTGAGTTATTAAAGCAAGTAATAAGAGGGGTAAATGGGCGCCGGCACTATGAAAATGCTAATTCTAAAGCAGAGTTAGAACCCATTCTCAGAGATTCTATTGCTTTAGCTCATAGCCTTTTTCTTGTTTTAGACGATGTGTGGAGGGGGAATGTGTGGGATGAATTGCTTAGAGTCCCGTTGCAGCAATCTAACGTGAATGTCAAAATCTTAGTCACAACTAGATATGAAAATGTTGCGAAGGAGATGAAGGCAGCGGGTATTCATCATGTGAATCGTCTTTCTGAAGAGAGCAGTTGGGATATGCTTCGTAGGAGGCTTTTCTCAAAGCAAGAAGAAGAGCTAGCGAATGACTTGAAGGATCTAGGATTAAAGATCGTAAGCAAATGTCAAGGACTTCCTCTTGCAATCAAAGTAATTGCTGGAGTTCTTGTCACAAAAGAGTGCACTAGGAAGGAGTGGCAAAATTTTCTTAGAAATTATGCGTGGTCTAGTAGCGAGCTTTCTGATGAGCAGATAAGAGGAGCCCTGCGCCTTAGTTTTGAAGATTTACCTTCACATCTCAAGCAATGTTTTTTATACTTCTCTTTATATCCTGAGGACGCAAAGTTAGATCTGCAGGAGTTTGCTCCACTTTGGGTGGCCGAAGGATTCGTAACAGAGCAACAAGATTCAGTGATGGAAGATTTAGCAAAACAATGGTTCAATGAGTTACTCAAGCGAAATCTTTTGCTTCCAGGTGATGGTCCTAGTGTTGTGTGCCAAATGCATGATCTTATCAGATATCTAGCTATTTTTTATTCTAAAGAAGAAACTTCTTTTGCAAATTTGAATGTGAGGAACTCCACCATATCAGCCAAGCTTCGTCGCCTATCAGTTGCAAATCAAAAGGCAGCAGCTGAAATACTGAATTCTGTTCCAGATCATGGAGCCCTAAGAACATTGCTTGCTTCATCTTCTAATCTATTATTGGATGATGAAAGATTGAGGCGGCTTTTGCATCTACGTGTCTTGGACATTTCCAAAACAGGAATTCAAGTACTTCCTGACTCTATAAGGAACCTAATTCATTTGAGGTATCTTAATCTGAACTTTACAAATATAATGATAATACCAGAATCCATAGGGAAATTAACAAACCTACAATTCTTGTACATGCGTTGGTGCAAAAATTTGGGACAACTTCCTAGTGGAATCACTCGGTTACACAATCTTAGGTGCCTTGAAATTTATGGAACGCCTGTTAGTTTCATACCAAAAGGAATAGAGAAATCGCAACAACTTAATTATCTAAGTGGTTTTGTGGCGGCCAATAATGACTGTAGCAGCAGCAAATTTGAAGAGTTGAATTCTTTGAAACAGATAAGAACACTCCACATTAGAAACTTAAAGAGATCTCAAAGTGAAACCATAGTTCTTAAAGAATTACCTAACCTTTCTACTTTGATGTTGGAGTTCTCCATGGACAGCACAAGTCCCTGGGAGGAACAAGAACTGGCAATGGAGGAGCTGTTCGACAAGATAATACCTCCACAAAGTCTAGAAGACTTCACAATATCATACTTTTTCGATCGCCGTTTCCCGAGTTGGATGTTCCCATCTTTTAAAATTTGTCTTCCAAATTTGACTAAATTGATATTAATGCACATAAAATCATGCACTCAGCTCCCGCCATTAGGTCAGCTGCCCGAACTTAGAGAGCTTCATATTAAATATTTGTTTAAAGTGAAGACAATTGGGCTAGAATTTTTTGGTGGTGATGTCAATTCAACCAGGATTGCTTTCCCCAAACTTAAACAGCTTATAATTGAAGATTTTCCTAGGTTGGAAGAATGGTCTTTTGGTGCTCAAGTTGAGCAAAATGCAAGACTTCCATGTTTACAGGAACTAAAAATCAGTTGCTGCCCGTTGCTGAAACAACTACCAGAAAATCTAAAATACTCTCCTTTAAAGTTCCTCGAGATATATTGTGCTGATAGCCTGAAATCAGTTGATAATCTCCCTGCTGAAATTGAGTCCCTAAAATTACTTCACTGTACAAATTTGGAAAAGGTCTGTTGTTCCCCTATGTTAAAGTCGCTTGTAGTTGAAGTGTTCAAAACTTTTCCTGACATGAAGAAGGTTGATTTAGTGTCAACATTAATTTTCAATAATATCTTTAACTTTGATAGTCCTCAAGAGTGGCATTTGAAGAAATTTAAGGGCGGTCTTCCAGAGTGGCTATTGAAGCTTCTGCAACAACGGGTGTCGCAAAATGATTTTAATGATGATTTCAGCCTTGAATTAAATTTCCCTTTTAAGGTTTTTCGAGAATGCTTAAAAGGAGGTACTTATTGGGACTTAATTCAACACATTCCACATGTACTTGTCCACGGTGGCATTCGTCGTCTTCGCTATAGTAAAGAACCCTATATTTACGATACAAATCTTTGATTAATTCATATGTTAGAGGTTTGTTAAGGATTATTATGCTTGTTATTGTGGTGTACGTACGTTGTTTGTATTATAATAGGGTATGCTTCTTTGTATAAATGTGGGTGGGTGAGCAATATGCGTATTGTGCCAAAGTGCATATATAATGTTTGTATGCTTTGCTTAATTTTTGTGGGGCCATCCGTCTCCTCGATTGGATTGCATATGCTTATACTTTCTGTGATTATTATGCACAAAGAAGTTGTTTATTTGTAAGTTTTTCAATGAAAAGTAAAGTGTGCTTTCATTATGCATTATCTATTTCTTTTCCGTAGAAATAAAGGGAATAAATTAAGGTTATTTTTTTTACGGGCATTTATGTAATTTTTAAATTTTATTTGTTTCTTTTTTAATTTATTTTTTAAATAGTGTTTAAATTAAAGGGAATATATATATATATATATATATATATAATTTTCATAATTTTTACTATATTAAATAAATGATGGTAAAAATTAACATACTTTAAAATAGTAATTTAAAGTACAATTATTAACACAAATAGAAATTAAGAAGAATTTTTCAAATTAATTATATTTTAATTTTAGATAATAATTTTAAAATTATTAAAAAAATCTTATAATCATTTTTCTTTAATATAATTAAATATTATATGAAAATTAAAAATACATCTTGAATGTGATTAAAATTAGTAAAATTTCAAATATCAATTTTCTGCAACTATTGTTTTTGTTTAATAAATAATTAAAAATACATTGTAAAACATTAATGTAAAAAAAACTCATTTATATTAAAAAGAAAGTTATTTTTTTAATGTAGCGAATAAGTTGATCATGCCAACCTTCTTCCCTTTAATTATTTATTTTATTTTCTTACTAATTTCATTCGTTTTTATTTTCCTTTAAAAAAATCAATTCGAAGACTGGAACTTGAAATTATTTCAAAAGATCTCAAGTGAAGTGTTGAAAAAGGTCAGGAAAGAGTACTATGGTTTTATTTGGGCGGTTTTTTTTTTATGTTTTTTCGTAGTACAATAAATAAATAATAATTGAAACTACAAAAAATGCTTTAAGAAGCATAAGAAACCATCCCAAACAAAAAACTCAAATCAAAATGCAGTAACTTATCTCCAACCTAACTCTATTTTCTAACACAAAAAATATTCATACTATATTCTTTCCCATATTTTATTTTATATAGTTTTAAACATAAAGTTTATTTATCAAATTTTTGAATTAAATCTATTATAATTAAAAAATATATTTTTTGCTCCATAAAATAATTTAGAATATTAATATGTCATAAATAAACAAATATTTATTTAATAAAATGAAAACTATATTAGAACACATAAATATGAATGAAAAAAATGCAAGGGCAACTAAACATTAGAATTAATATATTGATCCCATAAATGATCAATCAATATATTTGTTAAGGTATTGTATTACTAGATATCCTTTAAATATTTATGAGGATTTTATCTTAATTTCTATATTAATGTTGTATCTTTAATAAATTTATTACGTAAAAAATCTTTTAAATTCTAAAAAATAATGTGTTTATAAATTAATATTCCTTAAGTCATAATAAAAAACTCTACACTTAAAAAATTAAAATTAATAATCTAATTTTTTTTATTTAAAAAAAAAATAGAGGGTGAACAGTACGACGTCAATTAGCTATTTTTTTGGCCCTTCGACTGGAGCAAACCAGTGACGCCTTACAGTCGTTTAGAGTTCGGTTGGAGACGCTCTTATTGAACTAAAGAATCATTTATTTTCTGCTTGAAGTAGCTGGGTTAGAAGTTAAGAGAGCTAAGAAGTTTTATTGCATTTTTCTAGCAATTAATCGCAGCTGAGGGCTGCCATTGGCAATCATCATCACCATCCGCTAAATTTCTTCATTCAAATATGGTTGATTAACTACTCATATCTAACTCCGATATTGATTTTTAACTCTTTGTTTATGGTCCCCCGACTTCTTTAATCCTTGAGACATAATTGTATTATTACATCTTCTTCAATTTTGATGAAAATTAAATCCTTGTATTAATAAATATAAGTGGATTATTGCAATTAGGCATCTCCCTATTAATTGTTTTACTCCTTTACAAAATTTTCATGTAAAAATTCTTCCTCTTACAACTTCTATTTATCCATGCTCAATTTTCATAGAAAATTAATTTATTAAACACATATTCTATGACCATAAATTTTCTAGTATATAATAATAGTAAAGGTCACCATTTCTATCTAAAATTTTTACATAAATGACAACCAAGTGTGCCATCAAAGATTACATTGTGATATCTAGAAATTAAACACCAACATGATTTAAATTTTGTTTGAGACAACTTTCTTATTACTTTCAAAAGCAGCTTTTTATTACAAAAATTTTTTGAAGTAGAATTTTTTGTAATATTAAGTTATTTTAAAAAACAGTAAGAAAATTATCGTAAAATGAAGCATTCGTTGCTATTAAAAGTTTTAAAAAAAATTGTCTAACTTTCAGAGAGCATCACCCAAATTATATCAAGTATACAAGTCCTACAATATTAATGAGAATGTTGTCAAGATTCAAAAATATCCCTTTATTAAATGGACACAATGGATGAAAAAAAAAATGCAAAGCTTCAATAATAAGACAGGTTCTGGATCAAAACAAGTCTAAAAATAAGGTAGAAAAACAATCAATTCAAGGAAATTTGGCAACTATTTGTTGAGATGAACTTCCACATAATTGATAGCAATATGCATTTTTCACTTATAATTGGCTAATGAAGTGAACAGCTTTTTATTACTTTGCTCTATCAAAGAAATTTACTAGCTAGATATATAAAGTTGCAATGAAGAAAAAGGACATGTTACAACTACGTGAAAGAATCACTTTTATCTACAGATGTCCTGAACTCTCTCTCTCTCTCTCTCTCTCTCTCTCTCTCTCTCTCTCTTCCTCTCACTGATGAGACCATTGGAGGTCGAACATATAACAAAATGCTTCATTCTCGAGGGGCATTGTTCCTTGCCACAGTATGATCTTTACAAAAAAGCTATTGGCTACAGAAGAAGGCCGCTTGCTCCCCTTAGTAATGTACTGGAGAAATCATGTTAATGTACAGTTAGTGGTTAGCACCTTGGTTCTTGTTTCACAGTACTCCCAGCTGTTGAACTGAAAATGAATGTCTACAGGAAACAACAAAAGCGAGTAAAGATCTTGTTTCCATGTATAAACAACAATAATAAGTAGCAGTGTATGTTCACAGTGAGGCCTTTTTCAAGGATTTTGTACTGCAACATATTATATAAAATGAAAAAAAGAAAGAAAAAGCTAACAATGGAGAAGATGAATATACTAATGTGAATACTTGTCTTAGTGAAATCAGATGCTGAGGTCGCAAAAACAAATCCTAGTGAAATACTACATATTTCTGACATACTTTGAAAAGGAATTAACGCTGAGAAGAAAATGGATAAAATTAATTTAATTAGAATGTTTCTTATAGCTATTAAATATATTTTGTGATAAGTGTACTATATGATTAATCAATTAAAATTTGTGTTACACTTATCTTAAAATAAACTTAATGGTTATAAAGTCCATCATGTTCATCCCAAACGTTATCCTAAGAAAAATGCATTCACAAAAATCTAAATGACATTTACACTGATGAGTGCATCAGTGATCATCAATCTAGTTAATTATTTTTGGTTTAACAAATTTCCTTCTCTTTAATTTTATATCCCTACCTCATTATCTCGCCTATGCATTTACGAAGTACCAACAAAGCACCTTGGTTTATATTCTATAATCTTACCATTGATAAGAGGAATTTTAATTACAACTAGTTTCAAACATTATGTAGAAAGAAACAAGGCCTGAGTGCTACTCTCATACTCCAAATCTATCACATTTAGGTTGGACATGATGCTTCACCATTATTACTATTATTGAATCCCTTGATCATGTACCGTTTGTTAGAGATTCAAAGGTCTTCATTATATCGAAATTTGGCGATCTTGGGCTCGTTGGATTTGTCTCGTCGAGCCGATTGATTCGACTATAAGCTCGTTAAAATCGGAGACCGTTTAATAACTCAAATTGTGGTACGAGCTTTCCAACAGCACTTCGGATGCTTGATTTGGGCCCATTTGGGCTTAGATTGAGTTGAGTCAAGTGTCGTTGGGTTAGTATTTCCGAGATGCTGAGTTTGACTATAAGTTTGCTGAAATCGGAGTTCAGGTGATCCCAAATATAATTTTTTGAAGTTTCCAATTTGATTTTTGCCTAGAGATTCATGCCCACAACAACAACAACAACATCAAGCCTTTATCCCACTACGTGGGGTCGGCTACATGAATCCTTTTTCTGCATTGTGTCCTATTAAAAGTCAAATTCTCGTTTATATCTAATAAAGAAAGATCATTCCTAATATTTTCTAACCAAATCTTTTTAGGTCTACCCCTACCTTTCTTAACATAAGTCAAATCTAATACCTCTACTCTCCTAACCGGGTCATCGCAAGGCCGCCGTTTTATGTGACCAAACCATCTAAGGCGACTTTCTCTAATCTTATCTTCTACTGGAGCTACTCCAACCTTTTCACGTATATGCTCATTTCGTATCCTATCTCTAAGGGTAAAGCCACTCATCCACCTGAGCATTAAAAAAAAAACCTCGAGATTCATGCCCAATCAAGATAATTTCTTTGATGACATATCAAGTTTAAAACTTTTATCTATATAAATATTAGAAAAGTTTTTTTTTTTTTAATTTGGAATTAAATTCTATGGAGAGATAATCACTTTGGACAGGTGAAAGCCTTTATTCACCCCCTTATAAGCTCGAAAAAAATTTAATGGTGTATATGGTCTTATTTACAATAAACTTAGATGAGCCGAGCTAGGAAAATATTATTAAACTCATTATCATGAGTCCAAGACATCTTTTATTACAATATTTTCTTCTTTTTCGCATTTTCAATAGTTGTAGAATCTCACCTTTACATTGCTTTAGTAGAAAAACTTTGTAATTTGAGTAGGTAATACTGGAGACATTCGTAAGATACATTGTTTTCTCGTGCGATCGATACTTTTCTCATTCACTTTATTACTGATCGGGTCGTCGTGTGCACTTGCGTAGCTAAATTCATCATATACATCATCGTGAATTATAACACCCGCATCACTATAAAAAACTTGTATCTTCTCATTTAAAAACATATATTTAAAATAAAAAATAAAAATATATTTAACTAATACTTTCCTTAATTTTTAGTTTAAAAATTTTATCTATATA